CCTTTTTTTTTTCTTTTCTTTCAACCATATAATTAAGAAGCCAGAATTAGTTGCAAAGCCCGAAAAATCACTCGCACACACACGCTGCATCAAGAAACCGCCGTGACGGGCAAAGAACGGCGGTTACAGTGGAAAAGACATGAAAACAATTTGCGTTTTGGTTTTGCAACACACACGTTCATGAACAATGCAACCGAGAAGACAGAACAACAACAACACCAAACCCAAAGACACAATGCGAATTTGAAGTGCATATTGCACCGGCAGTCACCTAACAAGATCGTTAATAGAACACCAAAGAAGAGAGAGAATATGAACGGAAAAAAAGATATGTATATTTATCCAAGACGAGGAACAGACAAAAAAAAAGAGAATGAAATTCACAAACAAAAGCGAAAGAAAAAAATGATTTCGATTATATTCATATTCAAATTCATGTATACATTTCTGTTTGTTGCGGGTTGTCTTTTTTCTCTCTACTTCTTATTATCATTATTTTTTTCGCTGGATCGCGGCAGTAATTCCATTTGAAAAACGCCCGCAAAAAACGGGAACGTGAGTGTGAGAATAGGAACAATTTCATTTTTGTGTGATGCCTATGATACGCGAGCATGTACAATTGATAAAACGACCAACCAAACACGCTTGTTACGTAATTTCTGGCCAAAAGTGATATCGCGTGTAATGCACGCAGGGTGTTGGGATTCTTTTGTTCTGCAGCCGTACTTGTGCTTTATGGAACCGAAAGAGAAGAAAAGAAAAAAAAAGGTTCATTAAATGATAAAGAGGCCGGTCATTTGAAGCCAATCACCTTCAAGACCATCTCAATGGATTCGCCACATGAGCAAACCAATTCATTTTCGTGTTGTTCTTCCAATCCAGTGTTTGTTCAGTGAACAACAATGTTCACGACAGTGAAAATCGGCCAAAAATCCGAACTCGTTGTCAACTTTTTTTCGTGTCTCCGTTTTTTGTTTCGTTTCGTTTTTGTTTTGGGTGAAAAATTTGAATCGAAGCTCGTACGTTGTTTATTTCGTATCGGTTTTCACACATTCCATTTTGTTTTGGCTCGTTTTTGACTTCTATATAGATATTTATGTGTTGACCGATTCGATTCATACATTTTTATCATCCGTTCGTCGGGGTCACGAATGCATTGCATACCACCAGCTGTGAAGTATTTAGACGTGCCTATTGTTTGGCCATTATTGTCGATTTCAGCGGAAAGAAAAAGAAGAAACTCGAGAGAGAGAGAGAGAGAGAGAGAGAGAGAGCGAGAGAGAGAGAGAAAATTGACCGAAACACCTTACCAAGCACCCTAACAATTGAGTTTTTATTCGGTTGATTTGGGCCGATTTCAATTAGAGCAACAAAATGATTTGATTTGAAACTAAAGTGATTTTTTTCCCCAAATTGAAACGATGCATATCGAAACAACGGAAGTTTATGATGACAATAAAGTAGCTCATACATTCGAATCATTGCTCAAACAATTTAATTTCTTTCCAAAACCAGAGAAAAGCATATGAATCAACTCGGGATAACTCCCGTATAAAATTGATACGAACATAAAATATCATGATTGAAATAAAAGATTTCAATGACATAAATTGCATTTGGGTGTTTGTTTCTTTTTTGAAGTTAAAATTTGTTTTATTGTTTGTATGTTATCTAAACCCAAACGAAAATGCATCAGTTGGTGAGACAAAACGAAAGACGAACAAAAAGCCAAACACACACACACACATACACTGCCAGATTTATGAAGTCAAGCTGGCTTCAGTTGAGAATGTGAACAAAAAAAAACGAGACCCTTGAAAGTAATTATCAGTAATACACATCGCATCGGAATGGTACAGTGTATGTTGCACAGTTAGCCAGAAGTTTGGGCCAGGTAAAGCGCGACCAGGAAGAGGAGCACGATGCAGAGATACGGGACAACGAAAAAACAAATAAATTGATGTTGGAACAGAGAGAGAGAGGGAGAGAGGGAGAGAGGGAGAGAGAGGGAGAGAGAGGGAGAGAGAGAGAGAGAAACCAAAGAAGGAGAAAAACAATTTATGTCACCTCAACGGGAGTTAAATCGATTTCTCGGCCGTTTGAATTGTTCCAATTCAGATGATGTGTTCAGATGACATATTTTTCGGTTTTGTTCCTCTTCACTTTATTATTGATCACGATTTGTCTGGCTGATTATGACCTGGTTTCATTGGAACAATTGGAATATCACGAACAATGCCAAAACAAAAGAAAAACCACATTGCTTTAACTCTTAAAAGTAAACACAGTTTTATTTTGTTGTTCTTCTGTCCATGCGCCGTCCAATTTGATGTATTATACCAATTTGAAATTGGTTGGCGGCTCCAAATTGATGTGCTAATTGTAATCATGGGGCCAAGCGCATCGAAGTAAATTAGAATCGAGTTTAAATTAAAAATCAATTTGCGACTGTTCGATAAAATATCAATCAGCGTGGTATCGATAATGGGTGTCGAAGAGCAAGAAAATTGACCACAAAATAAGTAGATGAAATTTAATATTTTTAGCACATTTCTTACTCTTGCTCTCGCTCTCTCGTTCTCTTGCTCTCGCTGAATATTCTGTTTGGCTGTTGTTTTTTCGTAGTGAGAAGAGAACAACGTGATAAGTAAACGATAATAACGGCGGTAAAATACCGTGATTGGTCTTCTTTGTGCTTAAATAATTCTTAATTGAAAACTCCCGAAAACAACAACAGCAAAACAAAACACATTGCAATCAACAATTTAAATTTGCATTATATTGCATAACACATGCGTAGATGCAACGCATGCGAAAGTGTTTGGACACTTTCACATACTTAACACTCACAATGTGAGTCTCACATACACACGCCGTGCACAACTGATCAAATTGGCACATTCCAATCGGCTAATCAGATACGCAAACGTCCGTTGACGCTTCTTCATCGCATAAAATGCATCTTTATTCGTGTAAATTCGGCATGGTTGCTGTGTGCAGTTGTGTGTTTACTTCGGGCCGCAGTGAAATAAGTGAGAATACAAATATCACAACGACCCTGATAACAAATTGATCTGGAAATGTTTGCAGGTCGTTTGCTTTTTTTAACAACAGTTATTATAATTTTTTCCGCTGCTGAGAGAGAGAGAGAGAAAGAGAGAGAGAGAGTTCGGGTCGGAATTTGGGCGCACACCGCACACCATGTACACATTCTCGCATCTAGATAATGAGAATAATGCTCAAAATTACAGACAAACATTCGATCTCCGTCTCATTTTGCTAAATTGTTTTTTAATTTTTGCCAAATTTCCCTTTACATCCACTTATTCAGTGTGAACTTGAGCAAAGAGCAGAGTGCGCTCATCGTGTGTGTTTTACTAATGTGAAGAATCCAAATCAGCTCAATATTGTAACTGTTTTCATCTCGAAATTAATTTTTGTTTTCGTTTCGTCTCTTTCGCCTTTTTTTCCCCTGTCAAATCAATTTACCGGGCAAAAACATGACATAAAACTTATACACCGCACATCGTATCGCTTCAATTTCAGTTTCGATCAAACGATTTTCGGCGATTCAATTGATTTATTTTGATTGAAGATGATGTGAATATAATTAACAGAAGTTACTCACCGCATCCACCTTGAGTCTGCCAATCGGTATATCGCTGTCTCTGTGCGGCTGTGTGTTTATGTGAGCCAAATTACGCGACTTAATTTGATTAGCATATACTTTATTCCCGACTGCGTTTTATTGATATGCAATTATTTGTCGCTTTAAAAACACTTTAAGTGGAAATATTTGCCCCATGGCAATTAATATGGATCAGTTTCAGGGCCGTATCACGCGCGCACAACCACACACACACACACACACATGCACAGCTACTTCACCGGGCTAAATAAAAATTAAGCAAATTACCATATCGAATATGATGTGTGTGCTAGCCTGGATGACCAATGACCGCCGATCACGAAACAAAATAAATGAGCGTTGAAACATAAAATTTGTTTCGTTTAATTTCGATATCAATCAAAATCTATGCTGGACATCGTATTTTGCCACTTTTTACGAATCGAAAAAATATGAAAACGATGTAAATATATGGCATCGAAATTTGAGAATCACATTCAATATCATGGAATAAGTTGAACAACAACCGAGGAAAAAAATGAGGTTTTTTCTCCTTTTGCTTGTTGCTGCATATGAACGATGCGGTTGGTGTGCACAAAAGTCTAAGTAAAAGTTCATTTCTCATTTCGTATCGTTTTACATTCAATCTACGTTGTAATGAGACTCACACAATATCCTGGTGCAGAGAGAGAGAGAGAGAGAGAGAGAGAGAGAGAGAGAGAGAGAGAGAGGGAGGGAGAGAGAGACGAGGAAAACAAAAACAAATATGACAAATTGTACCATCGATTCGTTTACATTCGCCAAAGTGAAGCACAATTTATCAACGCATTGCGGAACTTATGGGATTTCTTGTCGAGATGATAATTGCATATTTAAACAGAGTTTTGTTGTTACACATTTTTATTTTTTGCAAACCATTCCTTTTTCACATAGACCAGATGACCTGATCATTCATTCCATTTATGGACTTTTCGGGAAGTGTTCGCCAATGTATTCTGCAATTTTCGATCATTTATCACTTGACTAAAGCTAAAATGTTGACAAATCAACAATCATGCTAGCAACAAATGAGTTCTGTTCTTTTTCGGCCCTTTTATGCTCTTCTTATTTTCAAAACTACGATTATTCTTTGGATATTTTGAAACTCTACACATATTCCAAAGCTCATACGAAGCTTCGTGTGGGTTCAATAGATGGCTCTGTTGCATTTTTATTTAATTCTCATTCGGATCAAATAGATTTTCGATTGAAATCGAAATGCAAACGATACTGATTTTATGACAATGGACAGAAAATGTAAAAAAAAATGGAATTGAAGACAGAAAATGTACTTCATTTTGATGAAACACCACATAAACTAAGAATTTTTTGAATTGAAATGCTTTTTAATTTTCTAATATGTTTATTATGAATAATTCCAATTTGGTTCAAAGTTTCAAATCAAACCCGTTCTCAACAAATAACCACTGTCAAACTGTGTACATTTCAAATATTTATTTATCTAGACAGATTCTTTGTAAGTCGAATTGTAAAAATCATCTCTAAATCTGGGTTTTTCGCCGAAAATATCTGAACCGGTCTTTCTTGCCCGTACAAATGCTTCTTCTGCCTCCAACAACTCATCTTCGGACGGTGTTTTCGGTGTACCATCTTCGTTCAGCTGCTTCTTATTCCAATCCTCAACGATTTTATTCGAGTAGACTGCGTTGAATAAATCTTCGGCCGTAAATTCAGACTGTTGAAAATCGGCTGTACGATACGAAACGTATGGCTTTAATGGGAAATCCTTCAAATCGGGCACAATCAATTCGGGAATCATTTCAGCCACTTCGACTTTATTTCCATAATCATCTAGAATGGTTGTCGCACGGGCACCGTACGTTTCAAGCGGTATTCTTTCATCGGGTTTGTTTGATTTTTGTTTTTCACGAAATACACGATCACCACGGACTTCGGGTGGTATATAGAATTTTCGGAAATTCTTTTTGTTTGCCACCACTGACGATGTTGATATGCATCGCCTCACTAAATTTACCGGTGTTTTCAATGCAGCAACCTTATTCATGGTTTATTTATCAACTTAAAAAGGTTATTTTTTATTGAATATTGAATGAATCCGCCTCGAAAGGTAAACAATTCACGGGAAAAATTGAGTGCAAACACAACACTTTTATTTTGAATGCGATTTTCTTTTCTTTGGTTATGTTGACAACATTTCAATAGAGGCTGTCATTTGCGAAGCATATGTCAAAGCATTGCTCGTTTTCAATGTACGATAGACATAAAATCGGTAATACAGGCGATTGAAGTTTCGGTTTGAGTATTCGCGCGCCAATTTCATTGACAGAACTAATTCAATTGTTTTTTTTTTCCTATACAAATAAATAGAATATTCGGTGCCGATTTGGATTCTCAAAACATAAACATGGAAGTTGATGATAGTTTTGCCAATGATGAAAATGGGCCATTGTTAGTGTTTGCGTTTGTGTTTCAAAGGGAAATTGAATAAATTTTCAAATTTTAATTGAGTTTATTCGTGTGTGTTTTAGGTCACAGTACATTCGTACATCCGATGACATCAAATCTATGATAAAATTGGCGAAGCTGAATGAAAAACAACTCACCGATATCACACAGGTCATTTACTATGGAGACATGGAAAATAATCCAGATTGGAAACTACTTGAATTGAATGGTCCATTGCTAAAGTCAGTTGAAGAAGGACAAGTGCTCGCTTTTAAAGGTATTATATTGAAATTGAATTTGAAAGCAAACATATTTATATGATTGACACTAAATATTAGTATCAAACCTGCATCTTCAAATCAAATGCCTATAAAGTTGCCAAAAAATTGTCAAGTATCAACAAACAAATTTTTTTTCACATTCTTCAATCTTCTCCTGAAACTCTCCAAAAAGGTGGCCTAAATGAAAAGGTGGTCCTTTGCACCAATGATCAAACGTACGAGGTGAAAGAAGCCGGCATTTCAAACAGTCTTCTATTGATACCCGAATTGAAATCGGGTCAATCCACGTCAAAGTCTCCGTTAAAAAGCCCCAAAAACCGAGCCAATTCATCGATGGACCGAAATCAAAATGATTCCACGAACAGCATCGAAGATGACGAAGAGTTTGTTCAATCGGCCGAGCGACAGCAAGAACGACGAACAGTCAAAAAGGTGTTCCATGAATATTTCGAATGCAGAGAAGTGAAACCGAAATTCCGAAAACTGGGCGAATTGCTGCAGCTAACACGATATTCTGGGCCAGAAAATGAATACTGTATCGATCGTTCGTTGTTGTTTACATTCGATCAACTGCTCAACACAACACAGTGTAGTCGACGTGAATTCGAAAATGGTTTGAAAAAATTCCGCGCATTTGAATTCGAGGGAAGAATGCGTGTGTTTGACATTGAATACGAATATCGATTGTTGTCAATGCTCTTGGGTGTTGTCACCGAGAATTCATGGCCCATTGATGGTATCAATCGCGATGAAACACTCGATGCCATTTCGGAGAGCATTGCGCCGGCTATAGTGATTCAAGCAATGTTCGATATGTACACATTCCCATCACAACAATCGACCAGCTCACGATGCCTCTACACTTACCGGGAAGATTTAGTCTGCCGAACAATTGCCCAAAATGTACTGCAACAAGGATCCAAGTTCCACTACAATGACTTTATGGATACATGGCAAAATGCATTGCCCGATGGATTCACAATTCATGTAAGAAATAAATTCATGACGAATTTTGCAACATTTTCGAAATGTTGACTCTTTTCTGAAATACTCAAATCATGCCCAATCGAAGCATATACTCACAAATTATCATTCTTTACAGGAAAATCACTTGCGAGGAATCGGCATTGTGGATCGATCAGTGGCAAATGTCCCATGTGTACGAACTTTAATCGAACAAAACATGACCATCAGTTTGATTGACCGCTTGAAGGTGCTATTCAAAACTCGCGAACGATGGACACTTGATGAAATTGAACCGTATATCGAGTAAGTTGATACTATCTACATGACATTGATACAAACCTTAGTTGAATCGATTGGAAATTCACTTTTTCAAGCTGTCAAGAATGAACAGGATTCATTTGAGGCAACTGTGCCCATGTATTGTTCTTGGTGGCAGCCATTTAAATGACTCAATCCAGTTTTTGATCGATTTTTCTCAAACATTCACATACAAATGTTGAAATTTCATTTAAAAAAATGACAAAAAATTGCAATTTTCTTTCCAACTGAATGATTTTTCCTGATTTATTCTGATTTTTTGTTTTGTTTTCATTTACAGATTTTTCGCTTCACCTCAATTGTCCATCACATCGATTTTGGCGAAGCATGCCCGAGCTCTCACCGAGAATGGTCAACGCATTTATGTTTCTAAGCATGGTGTTTAATTTTAAGTTCTTTGTAGTTTAAGCTATTAAATTGAATATCGATTCGAAGTGCTAAGCCTACGATTTTGTTTCAATCAATCACAGCGCTTGTCGAATTTATAAATTTAGCCCGACTAAACATTATTTTGTACACAATGGATCACATGATAGTTTCATTTTACAAATTAGATAATCAAAATTACAATTACAATTAATACAAATGAACAACATGAAAATAAACAAAATGATAAAATTCGATGTGATAAATATGTATTCGTATGTTCAATTCAAACTATTCTCTATCGATTATTCAGCTTCGTTGTTCATGCGAGGCAAATCAAAATCCTCGCATCCTGCCATGCATGTTAAATATGCGGATGAGTTGAGTGTTTCGTTTAATTTCTCTCGATTAATGACCAAAGGAATTTCAGCAATGGTAAAACCATCATATAAATCCTCGATCTGTTCAACGCGACCTCTGTAGTCATCAAATTCTTCGGCGTTTGTGACTGGAAAACCGTGCATAAAAAATTCATACCGTTTGCGCATCGATGTATCGTTTGTTTCAGCTAGAATGGCTGTGATGCGTTGACGATCTGGTTCTGATCCAAGAATGATCATAACTGAACCAATTACAACCATATCGCTGGATTGATTTAGGAACCATTCCAATTCTTTGCTTCGAAGACAACATGCGATGGTTACATTCCTAGGTTCATTCTGATGAACAACAAGGTTTCGTTGTTCGATGAATATTTGCGTTTCATGGATAGCTAGTGTGTTCATTTTCGGTTTGACATATATGATTGCAGTGCCGCTCACTGGTTCAAAATTTGAAATGCATAAAAATCCCTTGTATGAAATCAGTTTGCGGGTAACGTTATCAATTTCTTCAATGTTAAGCAATACGCCGTCGTTTGGTGCACGGTGAATACCTGGGAATAGACAATTTGCAGCACCTCCGTATGCACACAAATACAGCTCGCGCTGCTTTTCAGCCGTATATCGCCAATCCATCACTGGTTTGAGGAGGATTGTACCCAATACTTTGCCGATGGCACTCGGACAAAATGTCACCTTCATTTTACGACGTTCATTGGCTTGCAGGTACAACACTTTCTCTGGCACACGGAAGTCCAGCCCAATGACTTCGATATTCAATCGTAATGGCGTGTCCATGATATTTAAGATCAGAAATGATTTGGTCACACTATTTCTTAACGGTGTGCATCTCCAAATCACTTCGGATTTGTTCGATCTCAACGGAAATTTGTCAATGAGATGGGTAACATCGTAGCGCGGTTCGCGTTGACTGTTGGTATTTCCATTGGTTGGTGCCAGCTGTAGATGATTTAGTGCCGATTGCCGACCACTTGGAATGGGTGTTTTTTGACGATCAATTGCGATTGGGATTTTGGATACGCTAAGCGATGCACATGCTGGTACAATTGTGCGCGTTATATTCCCTTGTCCTCGCTTCGTTCCCTCGTGCACATTTCGTACTGGATTCAATGTATTCGGTTTCAAATTATTTACCCATTTTTGGCTGGCTAATACTGGTAACTTCACTGCACATGGTTTTTGTGTGTTTTTGATCGCGCTGGATATATCGCCTAAAGGGGCTCTAGCCGGAACCTTTAAGTAATTTCCACTCGAAATCTGTTTGCTGGCCATAAAATGTGTCGGACGATCAACTGGAAGAAAACATTTCATGAACACATTTTAAATCCAAATGCACATCAATTGATTCGCTTTGAATTGGAAAATGAAAAGAAAAAAAACTGCAAAAATTTAAAACGAACCATTTTCACTTGATTTCGAAACCATTGTAGATGACATGCTTTTGGTTGAAATCATTCCATCGGAATCGTTTGATCGACTTGTGGATGCTCCATCGATTGACATGTAGGTGAACTTTGATTGGTTCGGGCTTGACGGGAACACATATGGTCGCAACGTTTGACTTTGCTCGTAAATCGTTTTTTCTTCAATGAGTGCGGTGAAGTTTATCGAACGGTCCACCATCGGTCGATACTTTGGCCAATTCTTGATATCGCCAATCAGATACGTATTTTCATTCTCTGGCCACTTGTGTTCAACCGATAAGTATTGACTGGTTGCCGACGATGTTTTTGTCGACTGATTGCGATCCAATGAGGTTGAATTCGACACATTTGTGGAATCTGTGGAATTTCGGCAAAGGAAAAAAGTTTCTACGATAAAATTGAATTCAATAAACTGAAGAACGTTTAATTGGAAAACAGTTTTTAGATAATGCTTTTTTTCTGATGGGAAATTCTTGTATTCTCTTGACAAAAATAAGCTGCGCTACCAGGATTAGCAATTCTTCGGCGTTCATTCAACGGCCTATTCAAAATTGCATTGACCGGCATAAATAAGGAGCAAAGCCACCAAAATTTCGTTTTTAAATTCTTTTTTTTATAGAATTTCTATGATTTTTTGTATTTAGAACTGCTTTTGAATTGAAAAAGATGGAAATACCCAGAATCAGTGCACTTTATGGTGATATTGACATGAGCAACACCATGACTGTGATTTACTGAATGGAATTTTTGCTCGTGAAAAAGAAAAATGAGTATTTGTTATGGACAAGCAAATTAATATTTTTCTATCTGACAAATGTTCAAACCCCAAATGAATGAAAATGTTCAAATCCAAAACGAAAAAAATTGAACTAACCTTTGTGGCCTGATAGAAACGTCAATTCAGGCGGCGTTCCTCTATTTGGCGCTATTTCGCTGATATCTGGGCTCCGTCTGCGAAAATGTCCACTGAAAGAAATGCTTGCTCGATCCCCGTCAAATATGCCACTTGAAAAACTATCGTCCATTTTTCGTATTCAAATTCGATTAACTGTTAAAAACTACGATTTATCTCTAGACAGAATCGCAGCACATGTTGATGCGAAGCATGCAAATTACGTTCTGTTGCGTTGCATCACAAATCAATCAATGTGTCAAACTGAACGATACCGATCGCTGCAACGTCAGTTTGTATCAGTTGAACGTTCGAATGAACAAAACCGATGAATTCGTTACTTGTCACAAAAATGATTTTTTATTTCAAAATAAATGATTAAAAAATTACACAATATTATCATTTAAATGGTTCATTTTCCCCATTCAATTCGAATAAAATTGCAAGTCTTGATTTAAACGCCAATTTCGTCAATTATTGCTCCAAAGTATAACTGTCATCAGTTTGAGGCTGGCTGATGTAATGTGTCATTTGCTTGCCGTATTCAAACCGTTTGAATCAAACGAAATTTAAAAACGTTCATTCTTAAATTTATTCACTGGTGGACTGGGTGCTGATGCCAAAGTGTACGCCTCATATTCGGTAATTGTGAAATTGTAGTCACCAAATAGGCTAGACGAACTGGCATTATTTCCTCCATCGTATGAATGCGGCAAATTTGAATATGAGTCCATATTTGTGTTGCATGCATTGGCAATTTGTAAATCAGCTCCTGCACCGAAAATGGGACCCACTCTGAAATGCGAAGAAGAAATTATGAATTCGAAAAATAAGCGAAATAAATAAATCAGAAAAATCTTGATAAAAATCGCTAAAGTGGACAAATAAATCAGAAAAGCTGAATAATTACTCACTCTGGATGATAACAAATTGCGTATGGTTTCTTAATGATATCGTATTTAGTTGGTGGTTCTTGTTCATTATACAATGTGAATAAAAATGATCGCTCTGAATGGATGTAGCCACCTTTGCGATTTGTTTTTGCCCATGGAACGTCTGTGAATCCACCGCTGATCTCACCGCGTGAGCTTTGTGCAATAACAAACACTGGTGCAACTCCGTCGCAATATCGATGAAAGGCACTTGCTGAAAATCCATTTGCCGATGCACGGAACACTAGGCGCCAATTTTGTTTTGGTACACCATACCATGCGTTGAGTGTGGTTTGCAAATGTAGCTTATCATTTTTGAGAATCGATGATCCAGGAAAGAGATTTTGAAGAAGACGCGGTTGCAATCGTTTGTCGCTTTCGCCAAATGAAGCGATGCTGGTGCCAGTGTTTCCGGTCATCATATTATTACCCGACGATGGAACGGTTGATGACGATATTTGCATCGAACCAGGTATTGATGAATTCGTGAAGAATGGCGCTTTGCTACTCGTTTGCAGTGCAGCGTGTCGATACCGCTCAAGGGATAATTCCATTGGAACAGCACCCGTAGGCTCCACTTCTTCTGCAAACACTTGACTGTCTGGATTGATGAAAAGAGAGAAATTTTAAGGATTTTTCAACGAAAAGCAGTCAAGCTTTTGGTCTGCATTCTAAACAGATTCAACCACTAACCAATGAGAAGCAATCGAACATGATTGATAACACCGGCTAAATGTTGACATACTCTCGTTCGTTCATCTTCTGTCCAGCGCCCTGGTTGTAACGAAGTTACACCAGCCTTATGCTTTGCCCACACTAAAACGCATCGCCACACATCTTCTTCTTCCAAGCAAAACTGTAAGCAAAATCACATAATCAGCTCATATCGATCCAAATCACAAATTCCATCGTCAACTTACATAGTCCGATGAAATCAGCTTGATGATTCCTTCTTTTGGCAAACTCAAAAATGAGCTGGTCTTAACACATTCCGTTGCATTTTCACCGATATACGATGTACACCGTTCCAGAAATGAAGCCATAGACTTTGCATCTGTGAATGAAAATAGTGGATTCGTTTAGTTTCTTCTCTTGAACAATGAAGAAAAAAATGCGTTTAGATCAATTTCTTGAAAGAAAATGCGATTGGATTTGTTTTGGGTATGTTGAAAATGCAGTTTTTATTGAAAATTAAAAGTTACGATTAAATTGATTGGATGTTCGATTGATTTCATTTTGATACATCGAATCGAAGCCAGAGTAGCACAATTGGACTTTTGGCCACAATCAGCTCATCGTTGACATTGTAAACATATTCTTATAACAAGATCATGGTTTTTGTCACTAACCTAAGCTTAAGAATTTATCTTTTTTTTTTTTTTCTTTTAATTTTAATAAACATGAATTTTATTTTGAGAAAAAAAAAGAAAAATCGTATTTATTGAATGTATCGGTGTTGTTGTTTTTTCTTCTCTTCAATTTGTTGTTGGCGGCAGCCGCTGACATAACCTCAATATGTCGGTGTTTTTGTTTGCATCTCGTTTTGGTGCTTCTACGATGATGAGCTGCTCACATTTTGGATAAGCGTAATATTGTCTCCTTTCAACATGATTCGGCCGAGTGAGCGACGATTCTTTGTTTTCAGGTGATATTCTTCGGCATCGTCCAACACTAGATTCATGTATTCGTCGAAACCAACGATGTGACCCTCAATACGCAGTGAAACATTTTCGTACAGCCAAACTTGAACACGCGAACGATTTTGCAGGTATCGGAAAATCAAGTTGATGGGCTGCACCATCACTTTTTGCACCTTTGTATTACTTTTGAACGACATTTTTGTGGTTGGTCTGGAATTTTCGGTTTTAATTCGAAATTACTTGAACAACTTGATGTTAAATTAGCTTGGATGCGGACAACAAATGCTAAATGAATACAAAGCGACAACCAAACGTTTGACAAACACGGTTTGTGCGTTAGTTCTCGCACCATCAGGGGGCACTGTATCCACTTCGCCACATTTCGTTTTGTACAGCAAGCGATGAATCGAATTTTTATCACGTTGAAGTATTTTTTTTCTTCAATTTTTTCACTTTGGTCTTTGGGAATTGACGATAAATTTTGCAACATTTTTCGTTTTTTGTCGAAAGAAATTATTTTATGAATTTTTTCAATTGATGTTTCATGAAAATGCATTCATTTCCATTTGAACACGAGTTTTTACATAGATAAAACAGATTCCATGCGTCGCCATCTATCGATGAATAGCAAAATTAACCCAATGATTACGGAACTGGGTTGGCTATCAAAAATTAATTTTTTAAAAACGTTTTCTAAGTAAACTTATCGCATACATTTGCATGGATAGTATCCACTGGATCCACAAGGAAAATTCCATAATAAGAACAATTCCAATGAATTCATATAAAGAGTATCAAATGAAATCGGATTTTTCGAACCTAAAATTGAATACTTCGATACTTACTTGTAGATTTGTCATGAATATCCATGACTGCTGCCAAATAGGTGCAAGCATTGGTAACCGACAATGTGGAAACGACATAATCTTCGCAGGCGGCTTTCAATTCATCGATGCCCAAATCTTGTGCGAGGGTCATTAATTCGAAAACACGAGAATCTTGGAATGTAATCTATCATCCGCACCGCGTTGACATGTTTATAAAAGGAAAAGAAAAAGAAAATTGGAGGAAAAAGTGATAAATAAGCGAAACCAACTGGAATACCACCGTTAAATTATAACATGTATATTATGCTATAAAATATAAATACCTTCCCCGTGTATGCATACAGAATGAACTGTCGAAATACGCTTGCATTAATATGTGGTAAACGGATTTGTGTTGGATTGCCTGGAACGTTGGGTGAGACTGTACTGCCAGGAATGCGACAAAATTCATCTCGCTTTGTCGTCTGAAAACTTCTGCACCTGAAAATCGATAGCGAAACATTCTTTTAGCTATTCCACGGAAAAAAGTTAAATTAAAGTGAACGAAAAGAAAAAACAACACGCGCACAAGCGTCAAACTGAACTTTCAAAAACTTTGTCCCGTCACTTTTGCATTTCGCCTGAAGAAATTGCTAAATACCCAAGTTACGCGCTGGATAAAAGTATGAATTTGATTGAAACGGTGCGATTTGCTTCGATCAATCAATGGGATTTAATATAATAAAACTCACGATTTCGATTGCGATTGCGATTTAATAAAATCAAACTCGGCGCGAGAGAACATTCAAGCGAATCGCGTTAGAGCCTTCAAAGGAAGAATTGAATGGAAAAAAAATGCAAATTATTGCCAAGCACTTGGATAAGCATCGACAAAGTTATGACATGGATTTTCAATGGCATACACCAAATTTTATGGCATAGCTGCACGGAACAAATTGTCTTGTTAAAAGTTTTGAACAATTTCATTAAAACGCGATTTTTAATATATTAGTTTCACGCATTGGCGGAGACCAAATTTTCATTGTTCCGATCACAATTGCTCTCTCTCTCTCTCTCTCTCTTTCTCTCTCTCTCTCTCTTTCTCTCTCTCTGAAGAATTCGAAAATAATTTTTTTTCAATAAAATATTCGCATATTTTAATGAAATGTTTTATAATTTGAAAACAAAAGAAATTGAATGTCTAGTCCTTTAGAGAGAAATTTTCTTTCTGACATTGGCCCTATGTCATATCTGACAAAATACATATCAAAATTGTGGAAAAAATCTCTTGCATTTCCTGAATTCATATTCGTTATCTTCATAGTCATTATTCGTCAACGATTGACATTTATACCTAGCTTGCAATATAATCTTGTGTGCATAAATGCGTTCCTCTTCTCGATCCACGATAAAAACAATGTCGGAAGTTTCTTGGTCTTCGGACAGGCGTTGCAGATCGACTAGCAGTTGTGGAACGCCGGCAAGCGACTTCTCTGACATTTGCATCGAACCGAGCTTATCAGCCATGGTTTGAAGTGTTGATGTTGGTCCAAAGTTGGATCGAAGTGTCGTTGTCATTTTGACACCACTTGTTCCTCTATTCAAAGTTGTTTCTTTCCTTGCCGCTTTACTAAAAAAAAACACTTATCACTTAGAACATTGAATTTGTTTCCACACTATTTTCACTGGATTTCTAGTCAATTTTATTTAATGATCGCATTGAGATAAATCTATTATTGTTCTTTCGATGGTGATTTAAGTAAACTTGCTTCAGTTCCCCTTCCATGAAACAATCAATGGTTTTCACTTTGTTCTTCAAGAAAAAAAAAACACCAATCAATTTCATATGTAAAACGACAGCTTCAGTTAACATGTGTCTCTCATTCGACTGACTGCACAAACAAATCCACTTCAACGAACTTTATTCGGAATTAATTTGTCGAAATGCGTATGATTTCAGCGCAAAAATTGGCAGCAATAACAATTCATTTCGATATCTTGTTTCAAAAAAATAAACACTGACTTTATTATTGTTGACGTAAACTGTGAAATGCATGCATGTGTGTATGTGTATTCTGCGATGGTGAACGCGTTGTTTTCCAACCACTACCACACCGAACTAAAATCGAACGCTAAAAGCGGCCTCAACAGGTATACGAAACAGAAGAGAACAAAAAAAAAATACCTGAAATAAAGCAGCATTTCTTAGGACCATTGCGGTTGTATCAATGGGCAATAAAGCGAGTGTTATTACTCACATACACACAAGAGAATTCATTGACTCACCGAAACAACCGAATTCCTTTGGTGTTTGGTTCTCTGCTTCTCAAGAGACATAGAGAGCAGAATGCGATACTCTCTAGCGGCGAAGGATGCCGAACGAAAAGAGAATGGCAGAAAATACATAATCACATAAGAGAGCAATCGGTGTCTGCACGGATATATGTATTTGTGTGGATATACAGTGACACCAATCCGTGTGTATCAACGTTCATTTTTTTCATGTTAAAACTAATTTTAGAAGAACCGATTGAAGTAACACTAGTAAAGGGTCCAAATCTAAGGTATTTCCAGCAGAACCGCATAGAAATGGCTTCGAAATTGTGATCAGGTGGAAGAACAGGTACATAACGCGTTGTGTCGATCAATGTGTGCTCTCGATACAGACGAAAAGCGATAGAATGGATTCGTCGTTCTTTGTTCATCATTCGTCACTTTGAAAATCGTAAAATGGAATTTTCATTATGATCTCCTGCGCAGAAATTTAAAATCTCTAACTCAATTATCGTTGTAAAATTGAATTGTTCGTTGAAAATTGACTTTTAATTTTTTTTTTAATAATTTGATTTTACATTCGATTTGGGGTTCACTCAATTTAATTGTGTTTACAAAGCCAATGTCTTATAATTTGATTTTATTTACATTAGGAAAGAGACAAAAATCGCTTCAAATCTTGTTTCAAAACGTTGGTTTAAGATAAGCTTGCTTACATTGCTATTAAATTGTCCTTTACAAATCCATCATTCTTGTGGTAATTGTTCATAATTTGTGCTACCGATGATTTTTTCTCTCTCGTACGATAAATGTTCGTAATTGTGTTTGAAATTGCCTATGTGCGGGAGTTTAGTTGCGCTCGTTGAGTCTTCGGTATCATTTTACGGCTTTTTAAATAATCGAGATGCTATTCTCATTTGTTGTTTATATGATTTGTTCGTCAGCACACAATGTCGTCGTATAACAAATGCTGGCACAAATGGAATTCAATGGGCTTTGTTGACTTCTGATCGGGAAATAGAGACAGACAAGTGGGAAATTGTTCGGTTTAAGGGGGGATTGTTACTGCTGCTGATGCTACTACAGATGAATAAACGTCTATCGAATAAACACTCTTTTCCATCATATTATTACACTCATCCATCGAATAAATTATATTTTGATGCATTGCAAAGAGTGCAGAGACGACACCATATTCAGCCTCTTTCTCTTGCTCTGTTTTATTTGTGTCTCGATTTCAAACGTTCATTCACACACAAAAATGCACACACAATTGACTGCCACCGAGAGGAAAAGAGGAAGAGACCGAGCGAACGACCGAGTGCTGGGCCCATATGTTCACATTGGTTGTGTATGTGGTTCGCACCTAAATCAAATGCTCAATACAAAATATTTCCCTGCGTTTTGGGGAGAATCGGAAAGACACAACCAGGGAATGTATGCACATAGATTTATTCAAATAAATTAAAAATATCAAATAAATTTATCCGATATTGTTCATGCGTTGCGTTGTTGTAACACATCTGCAGTACAAATTTCATATTCTCTTCCGGATTTGCCAACTCAAATTTGGTGGTGTTCCGATCGGAATTCGGCGAAAATAATGCGGAGGACTTCACTTCCAGAACACATTGGACCAGGTCGGGTCCACCTGCTCCACAAGTTTCACTTCCAGCTCAGCCAATATTTTATAGACGCTATTTTTAAATATAAGCCGAAAACAAAACTAGTGAAAACTTCTGAAATATTGCCTGAGCTGGAACTGAAACTTGTGGAGCAGGTGGACCCGACCTGGTCCAATGTATTCTGGAAGTAAAGTCCTCCAGTACAAGAAAATCGCATTATTTTTGCCAAATTCCACTCGGAACACCACCAAATTTGAGTTGGCAAATCCGGAAGAGAATATGAACAACGCAACGCATGAACAATATCGCATAAATTTATTTGATATTTTTAATTTATTTGAATAAATCTACGTGCAGACATTCCCTGGACACAACGAACAGAGGGTAAACCAACACCGAAAAAGCAATTTCCTTTGCTGTCATTCAAATTTTCGGAATGCCAAACGAAGTGCAATGAATCATACTTGCTGTGTGTGTGCGGGTTGCTGTCGCTGTTCCTGTTGTCTTTTTTAACCCCGAATTTATCTCCATCTCCCGCCACCCACTCACACTCGCTGTCTTTCGAAAAACTTTTTGACGAAGTTCATATTTCGATTTCTTCAACAAGTAATTTCCATGAAATATCAAACATGCCAAAGTGTGATTGAAGCCACATGAGATAATAATATCGAGTAATAGAGGTAGAGAGCAATACCTCTCAATTCATCGCCGAAAATTCGATTTCCAAACAACAGAAATGCAACGCAGTACCATGTTGTTACCATTGTACAACGACTTTTCTTTCACTCTCACTCTCTCGGACGAAGATAATCGAAAAAGTAATGATTCATTTTTATTCCCCAAATCATGAGAGATGCGATATTATTGCGGATTTCCGTTTGTGCGCAAAAATATTATACGAATACAAATATTTTGCTACTTATTCACTGATTGATATAGATGACGGCTCAATGAACCCATGCTGTACATCGACTTATTACGTACCAACGAAAAACAAAAAAATTACATGTGATTATCGCCGTCCAAAAATTCTTCGAAATTTTGTGTGCCGTCAGTTGGGTTTTTTATTTATGCCATTGGACGTCATGCTGCCATTGGCGCGCACCGTGTAGCTATTTATTGCATGTAATGCAAAACGTACACAAATTTAGAAAATCATTCAATTGTAAATGTATTCAATACACTTCAAGAGCATGGCTCTCGACATACACAGAGAAGGAAAGAGAGAAAGGAAGAGAGAAAGGAAGAGAAAGAGAGAGAGAGAGCCAGGATGATGTGTGTCACAACGAGCGAACCTTTTGGAAGTGAATAAACACGCAGGGCGATAACGGTCAGAGCTGAAAATAAACATTCCATTTGCCTAGTTCTAAATTAAAATCGATAGCATTTTAATCGATAAAATTGTGTTCCGAGAAATATGAGAAAGGCGTCATATTTATATGTGTGTGCTTATAAGCTGAGCAATTTGCTGTTGGGCTGTTCGTTTGCCACCCATTCGCTTTCGGAAAATGCTGCTTTTTGTTTTATATATTCGAGCCGAATTCTTGAACGTCTTGCGTATAAAAATAGTTTTTTTTTCTCGGTGGTCGACGTTGATCGGACAAGGAGTTTGGTACAGCAAGCAAGCAGCATCAACGGCATCACCAGCTGAATAGATAAGAACGAAAATATACGGCCAGTATCAAGTGATACGAGCGTGTGTAAAAACATACATCTTTCATGATAACTCCGTCTCATATTTCAGGGTCAATGAAATAAAACACGATGAAGATTGCTGCTGGCTAGTGCCGCCTGATGTGTTTCTCTCTCTCTCTCTCTCTCTCTCTCTCTCTCTCTCTCTCTCTCTCTCTCTCTCTTTGTGAATGCGTATGTAAGTGTGTGTGTGTGTGTGTGTGATACAATTTTAATCTCTTTCAATGGACTTTCTTTCATTTTTGTTTGTTATTACGATGCTCTCCCAATCCCGGCCGATGGTTATGAGTTGAGAGATTCCCTTGTATAGATGAGAGATGTGGCTAGAATTTTATTATTTGCTGACCTTTCGAGGTTTAATGTGCTCACTGGATCGGGTGTATTGCATTGTATTTTCATATATGAGCATATTCGTACGGTTATTCAAGCCATTCACTCGAATCCCATCCATACATCGTCGTTCATAGAAGACAGATTGATAAACATGATGTTATTTATTTTCGTTCCCTTTTTTCCTGCCATCCTTGTTGTGCTACACACACACACACACACACACACACACATACTCACATAAACACAACCACACATATGCTAGCGTTTGCGAAAATTATCATCATGGTCAAGCCTAGATTGCGTATAAAGTGTCCGTAGAATTTTTTTTTTAAATACTAATTTGTTTCATGTAAACAATGGCTACATCATAAGTATTTATTCTGGTGTTTCGGTCGCTACGGCCGTAATATTGCGCACGCCTGCCCAATAACAATCACTGCGATCGACTCAGTGTTATATTGGCTCATCGCCGGTTTTCATCGTTTTTTCTGTGGCTTCTGATTTAAAGCGCAAAAAAAAAACGTTCACACTGTTATAATCATCAGAATTTTTCACAAACGAGTGAGAGAGTTCAAAACGTGGAATAATTTTCAGTTTAAAACGAAAGAAAAAGTGTTTTGAAGCGGTTGATTGAAATCGAGAGAAGTGCGCATTTGAAAATGTTCAATTCGAAAATGTAAGTGTGTCCGTCTTATCCGACGATATCATCGTTCGTCTTGCATTTCAAATATATTTGCTTTTCGAATAGAATGTTGAACTTGTTTAATTTTGATTCACAGGAAATCGTTTATTGTACTATTTCTTACATTCGGAATGGGATTTGGTGGTCAGCTCGAAGGACTGAGACCGCAACCGGTTAAAGTTCAGTGTGAGCCATTAGCCAATGATGCACTTTGCTATATTGCTACACCAATTCAATTGAATCCGGTTCAAAGTTTGGAGTTTGAAGACATGAGCACATCACAAGCGAACAACATTCTTGAATTCACGGTGTCGTACGAAACAAAAATGGAAATTATACCGCATGGCATTTTCGACATGTTCCACTATTTGGAACAGTTAAAATTGCAAGGAATCGGACTCAAGACATTGCATCACAGTGACTTTGAAAATGCCTGGAATTTGCATAATTTAACACTCAGTGATAATAAATTGGAACGCATACCGAGTGGGATTTTCTCGCGAGCGGTCAATCTAATCGAATTGAATTTGGATGGCAATTTAATTTTACACCTGGAAAATGATGCCTTCAACGGTTTACATCAGTTGTACTATTTGTCATTGAATCGTAATCGTTTGATTACATTGAAATCGTACGCGTTTAGCGGTGCACCACATTTGACCGATCTACGGCTGGAATACAATGAAATCGAAGTGCTGGAAAATGGCGTTTTTGATTTGCCCGATTTGATGTTCTTGTACCTGGGTCATAATCAATTGAAAATAATTCCAGACGATTGCTTCAAAAATACACAGCTCATCGGCTTGGACTTGCAATCCAATCAAATTACACAATTGGGCAATTCTATTTATGATATCAAAACTATGCGTACATTGATTCTGTTGGACAACGATCAAATTAGCGATCTAAACTCAACGCGCATCGCTGAAATGAACCGTTTGGTTGAAATTAAATACAAGCCTAACAGTCAAACGCTTGTATAAACAATGCGATTTTAGGCTTTTTTTTAAATGCTTTACTAGTATATAATTTTACTTAAACATTTTTTTTTCTGGTACATTTAGTAGAATACCGTAGGCTGAATTGCAATAGCAAGTAATTTAACTCCTTTTTAGATCAGATTGTATTTGTAAGAAACAGCAGGGGAAATACTCAATAAAAACATCGTATTGGAAAGCTATTTATGTTTTAATTAGCCAAAAGTTGAACTGCGTTTACTTGAAACTTCATTAAGAAGCATCGATGAGTTGATTGAACTTCTTTTTACTTGTTTGTATTTGAAAGCGATTACATTATTATTCCATTTTTCCCCCATTTGCAATGCAATAAATTGATTTCCGGCATTCGAAATATCAGTTTTTAATGGACAGACGTTTGATGATTCTTGTTTTCTTTTCAGTACTCGATTCAATTCCATTCCGCGAAGGCGAATGCGAAATATCGATTTCCGTCGCTTGCTACACTCGATTCTTACAAATCGATACACTGTTCTAGACTAGATTATGAAATGTAATGAGTATCCAATGGAACGGTTGACTGACTGACTAATACTCTTTGGCATAAACTTGCTTTCTCACTCTCTTTCTCTTGTTCTTCCGCTCGCACCCTGTCTCTCGCGTACATTTTTTTCCTCAGCGGCTTTTCCTCAGCCGCATCGAATTTCCACTAAAAGCTTATTACTCTGTCAAGCTGCCAGTAGATTATGCGTAATTGATGTCGATGGTGTTAAATAACCAACACAATTATTGTGCATTAGTGTGAAACGATTCTCCGTCCGTTATATTTATTGAGTGCAATTGTCGATAAATGAAAAATCTTCAGATTATTCGTGTAAATCGAAAATGAGATTATTACAAGCGAAACTGACAAGTGTTCACCACTGACACTGCCATTGCCGTTGCTGTCGTAGTTGCTGCTCTGAAGTGATTGAAATGACAAGGTGGTGACGGTATGTATGGTTAACTAATGGAATCGATGGCAAACTCGAGTGAGTGTGTGTACTGCGTGTGTACGGGTATTACATATCTCATGGGAAGCCAATATATCGAACCGATTGCCATCACTTTTAGCTGAGCAAATAGAATTCTTGCAGTAAAACTTGCTTATGCGTACAAAATGGGATAAATTACGATATCGAATTTATCATAAGATATGGCAGCAAATATAGAGCATAGCTGATGGAGAATGAAAGAAAGAATGGATAAAAGTATACAAGTAATAGTCGTTCAACACTTTCCTATGGTTTCTTTGCGGCCATCAAATTAATGCAGAGCACAAGGATTGATGCTATTCGATGCCATACGATGCGATATGGTGAAAAACAATTCGCGTAGTTTACGTAAAACTTTTACAATTCCCACATTAAAAACAAAAAAAAAACTGAGAAAGACGAAAAAGAAAACGAAAGGAGAAATGTGTTGCTGGGCCAAGAGCACTGTGGAAAGAATATGAATGTTTTTTGTTGTAGATAATAATTTTTGGCCGTTGAATGGCCGACAATAACATAAATTTTTATATGTTAGTAGTAGTTCCGATTATGAAATCATTGCATGAAAAATCAAATGAATTTCGAGCATAGTCTATGATGATCTGAATTGTGCTCTCTGAGTGGTTTGATCTCTCGGAGTCAAACGATATTTAAATATAACATTAAAGCTTTGCCCTGAAAAAGAGTTTGTGAAAAATACATAAGCAAGAGAGAAGCTGCTATCTGACGTCGATGGAAAAACTTAGATAAAGTCCCATGATAAATGCTTATTATTAGTTTTTTTATATTCTTCTGTTTTACACAGTGCATTCATTTCGCATAGTTGGCGTGAGAGTGGTTGTTGTTGTTGTTGTTGTTGTATTCGATAGCTGAAACATTTCACAAATAACACAATAAGCCTCTTTGCATATAAATACGCACGCACTCATCGGTTTGCGCTTAAGGGTTCACAAATACACAAAAAAAAAAACAAAAACAAGCTGAAAAGAGTGCAGAGAGGAGAATCGTTTGATGTTTGATGCGAATGTATGGAAAATGTGGCTCTAGCTCTCTTTTTGTGCAAATGAAACGAAGTGAAGTGTGTTTGCATGCAGCAAACACGGAAATTGTTACGCTTTGACATTTTTTTTCTTCTTCTTTTCTCTATATACAAGAGTTTTAGGTATCTCCATTAATATCTCAGTAGGTGTTCATCTCGAGTCAATTTTTATACACACAAACAGTCACAGTCGTCGCTCTCAGTTCCCTTTGACGACAATTTTTGCTTTTGATGTTTTGTGATTGCATTGTTAATGTTGCATATATTTTCTACGTTATGAACCATTTTCAAGAGAGGCACTGTTTGATGCATTCGAATCTTAATTGCCTAAAATCAATTTTTCACAGATATTCCATTTTCGATCGGTGTTTTTTTTCCTTACCACACAATCGACTGATCATCAACTTGCCTAACTAAGTCAATCGTACTGTTCAAGTGATTTCCTTTCATTTTAAACTAAAAAAAATACTATGCTAATGATTTGTATTCAGCAAGAGACATTAATTAGTTTGCTGCATATTAAACGTGAAGTGCTTTTCAATGAATGCAAGCTCGTTGTATATTTTTGTTCATGGAAGCGGGTTTTTTTTTTTAATTTTCTGTTCGTCTCTTCAAAGTTTATGAAGGTTTTCAATTTTGCATTGCATTTCATTTTAACCTCAATTTAAAATATAAATAACAATCTCTTCGACTAAAGATAAAAACACACATTGAGTGTTTTAATTTGGTTTCTCATCATCATCTGTTAAAAAACAATCAATCCTCATTCTGTTATTTGTACTTCGATTCATCTCTTGATTTTATTCTTCTGGTTATTTTTGTTTTGTTCTGTTTTACGAGTAGAAATATTGTGCAAAAATGTATAAATTTTAATTGCCAATTGCATTTTTAACTTGTTGAAAAAGTCAAAGTGAAACGCGAAAACGGTAACATTTCAGTAGCACTCGAAGTGCCGCGATATCAAACCGCATACTTCCTTTCAACTTTGTCATTCAAAAGGAATTTAAATCACAGATTGAATATGGCGCGCACGCATACGCCGCGACTTTCTATCTTTGTGTGTGACTGAGAAAGAGAGAGAGAGGAAGAGAGCTTGGCAGGAGAGATGAACCTGCTCATCACTTTTATTCAAATCCCTTGGAGTGCAATCAAGTTGTACCGAAATATTTTTGTTTCTCTCTTACACTGTCAAAAATCCGCCAGCCCGCTCGCATGCATCATATCATTTTCTCTAGGATCCATATTTTACGCTGTGTATGCGTGAACAATTCCGACTTCTTTTTTTTTAAATGGTGACAGTGTATGCGTAATACACTGGAATGCATTAGAAAACAAAAGTCAAACAAGATATCACGAGCAAAATGCATGCCATGCGAAGAAGCATAGCTCAACATTGGCAAATATGGCATAATTGGAACAGAAGGAAGATAATAAAAGCAAAAAAAAACTCGCAAAACAAAACGCACAAGATAAGAGTAGGAGAGAGAGAGAGAGAGAACAAGAGTACTACAAAAAGCGAGGCATATAGTTAATCAAAGTCGTTTGTTTATTGGCTTTGATTTAACCGTGTGCATATATTACACGACAAACAAAGTCATTACAGCATATTATGATGTTGTTCTTTGTTGTTGTTGAAGTTTTTGATCCTGGCCAGATTTGATGCGTGTCTTCGCTGGCTTTAATTCATAAGAAAGAATGCTAAAATAAAAGATCTATATAGATGCGATGACAAAAGATGGAAATCCAACTAATGCCATAAAAACTCAACACAATAAACGCAATGTTACAAACAGAAGTAGGAAGCAACAGCCATCATCATCATCATCACCAAAGAGAAAAATTAATTACAAGAGCTAATCATTCTGACAAGATATTATGCGGTTGTTCTTAACCAATGTATAATTAACAGCATACAGGTAGCGAGCACACTTGGAAGTAGCGAATGCATAGCACAAACACACGCACTTCACATCACAAGCAGTCGAGTTGCACTTGGGCCCACCAAACATAGAATCGTTTTCGATGTATTTTCTTTTGATTCGTGTGGCACTTGTAGCATTCAAATATTCAAAGCAACGCTCACTGACAACAAAGCCATGTTCATGTCTTGCAAAATATGATAAATAATAATGAGAGAAAATCCACGGGAAAGCATGGTTTGATTTTTGTACTTCAAATTCATTTTATGCTGATAGAATTTCTGAAAAGAAATTTCATATTTCCATATTCAAAATGAAATTCAATTGATTTATTCAAAAGATTCTCCATTTTTTTTTTCTTCAAACGAATTTCAATTTGTATGCTTATTCAAAAGAATAAGAAAATTAAGTAACAATGAAAAAAAAAAAATTAATAATCACAATCGAAAATAAACATTTCTTTAGCACTTCAAAAATCATGTCTCATCAAGAAAGTTGAATTCATTTGTTATTGTGAGGAATTACACGGGCACCCGAGACCTGATGACTGAAGACGTGACGTAACGAAAATGTAAATATGGTTTGACGCTCCGATTCGAGAGATACCCAAAATGATTTCAAGGGAATTTTTCGCCTTGAAAAAAGGGCCTGTACTAAGCTGTTGATTTTTTCATCTTCTATTTATTATGTAAACATTTAAACTCGTCAAACGTAAACGTTTTCATAATGGAATTTGGAATCATTGAGAGCGCTCAGCATGTCGATTGCAATGCGAACCGCATATTAATGATGATTGTATATTGTTACACACCAAAAGCACACAAATTGAAACAAAGACAACAGGTATTAGTTGCTCGTTTTAGTTTTCTTTCTTTTTTTGTTTATTCCTATTGATTCAAGTATATGAATAGATTACTGTAAAGTAAATAAAGTTTTTTTTTGGAACAAAAACCATCGACAGGGAGAGAGAGGGAGAGAAAAAAAAAAAAAGAAAAGAAAGGAAAGAAAAAAAGAGAGAGA